GATATTGAAGGGTGTGGGGGATGAGGGGGACAGAGGGATTAGACTGGGTGGGATATTGAAGGGTGTGGTGAATGAGGGGGACAGAGGGATTAGACTGGGTGGAATATTGAAGGGTGTGGAGGAGTGAGGGGGACAGTGGGATTACACTGGGTGAGATATTAAAGGGAGGGAGATGTTTCAGGGGGTGGGATTTTAAAGGATTCTAAAGGGAATCAATGCAAAATGCCATGTGCTGCTGTTGTTTGTGAATGGCTTCATGTCATAGTGAAGCGTTTTGTTTCAGGTGCACAAGGACAGATGTCGCCAGAACAGATAAATTTGTGAGATGTGGTTGTCGGCAGCTCTTTTGGGTAGATATTGAACAGGATTGTGACTAGCACTGAGCCTTCTGCTTGTCCTTCGGTCAGCTTTCTCCTTGCTCAAGCCCCTTGCCCAACACAGAATGTAATTCATCTGCTGAGAAGGAGCTTTGACAACTCTCCTGGCCCAGATTGGAAGCATTCTGTCCACTTTCAGAGTGGGGCAGTGTGCTGCACTGAAGAATGTTTGGAATTCAACACTCCAGAATGCAGTAGACACTGGGACACCGAATAAATTTAAGGAGGGGATAGACAGATTTTTAATTAGTAACAGGTTACAGGGAGTGGGCAAGGAGTTGAGGCTGAAATAAGATCAGCCATGATCATATTAAATAGCAGAGCAGGCTCTAGGATTTGAATTGCCTACTCCTGCTTAGAGTTCTTCTTTTCTCATGTTCTTAATGACCGTAGAAGTGACTCTAGTCGGGACATTGACCTCTGGCGCACCTGAAGAAAACAGCAAAGATCAAAACTAGAAACAATGGAATACAAAACTTATTAGATCTACATTGGGTGCTGTTATCACACCTGACCTCAGCACCTGCCCTATCAGACTCTGCACCAGTGCACTGCACCCCTTTCTGACAAAGATCATCACACATACATCTTGCTGACGCTCAATCGAGTGCAACCATGTTAGTCATAACTGGAATCCTTTGAGTAACACCCCAAACATCAACACTGCCCACCTCCACCCCACATCAGCTGGCTGATGAAAACCCACTAGCTAGTTGAAACCATTCATGCTGCATTATACTGACCTACTCCGAGATGATCTGCTCAATTCACTCACTGCCTACCTTTCATTTGCAGAAAATGCCCTGACCAATATCCACCAGCAAACATTCTTTGGGTCCAGGAATGGGAGACACAGGAAGGCATTAAAAACCTTCCTGACACAAACCCCACTAGAAAGGGCAGACGTTGACCTACTGCAGAGAGTGCTCCTGGCTAAAGAGGCTCAGGATAAACCAGGACCTTTGTGCAGTGTCCCTTCACCCCCACTGTGTCCTTGGTGCAATATCTTATGCACTCGTGAAGCGACATAAACAATGTTGCACATTACCAAGCAGTGTCCCCTCTACAGAGTTAGTGACCAACAAATCACCTTAAAACTCAACAAATAAGCAGGCTATCACTCAGCTCCAAGGATTTGCATTCATTAATGATAAGCAAAACCAGGGAATATTGGGAGCAAGCCAGAGAACTAAAATAGATTACATCATATTCCTCAATCCCAGCTTCTCCCCTTATCCCTCAATCTAACCCTCTTCCTATATCCCTCGATTCTACCCTCTCTCCACATCCCTCAACCCCACCCACTTCCCATATACCTTGATCTCACCCTGTCCTTATATCCCTCAATCCTACCCTCTCTCCGAATCCCTCAATCCCACCCACTCCCTATATCTCTTGATCCCACCCACTCCCCATATCCCTTGATCTCATGCCCTCCCCATAGCCCACAATTCCACCCTCTCCTCATTTCCCTTGAGTATTGATACTTAAGGATTATGTGAAGAACTGGAAGAGACAAAACAGTTGGAAAATCTGCCTCACATAGAAATAACGTAATGTTCATTCTCAAATGACATAAATGACATTCTTAAATTACGTTTTCTGGACTTTATTTTCCCACAATGATTGCTGGATCCTTTCCAAGTTTGAGTGGGCGCTACTTGCAGGAAGTGAACAGTGTGGGTGTAACAATTGTAATAATTGGCTTGATCTCTCAAGTTGAGTTATAATTGAAACTATACTCGGATTTTATAACCTTACCTGGTTTTTGTCAAAACAGTTTCAACCTTGTCATTCTCGGCAGGCTTCATGAGAATTGTGCTCATACTAAATTTATCCTTCCTTGTAGTGAACCATTGTGCATCAGAAGCCATCCCAATGATGTACCACTTCCCTATAAACTGAACAGAAATAGATCCTTTGACATTAGAACGGACATGCATACAATCCTCGGTGTCCTGGATTTTGGGATAAGTGAAACTAGAAGCTAGATTGTCCTCTTGTACATTTTGCTGGTTACAGAGTGAGTGTGGTGGATTTACAAGCTGTAGCATTGACATGTTTAAGCACTGCAGGCTGCCCGATGTTCAGGAGCCACAAAGGGTCATTACTGAATGGTTTTGACACTCATTGGTAATTTCCTCACATCTGCTTCAAAGTGCGGGTACAATCTATAACTACCTCCCCATCAATTCTACCCTGTGTGCACACTGTCCTCCTTCAAGCCCTGGGTAACTCTGACTTTGGCTATATTGGTGATTGGGAACTGTATGTCAGCCCTCTACAAGTCTCTCTGAAGTACTTGCAGTTAATCTTTCATTCATCCTTTTGATAACAGAACGGCAGAAGGATTACCACAGTACAATGCAGCTCTTGCCTCAGGGAACAAGAAACAGAAAATTAATTGGGTCAATATTGCAGATGCTGAGTTCGAACAATGCAAAAAGTAGAATAAGATTTCTAAAAGAAACAATTTGCAAGCAACACTAGACCTGCTAGAAAACTCCTTTAAATATCTATCCACAGCAAGGTTTAGTCCAGCAATCTCTATGTCCCAGTGTCAGTGACTGAGTGCAGAAACTTGCATTTATACATAACCGTGACTTCCTGCTTATTCCTGCTCGGGGTCGCTGATACTGTGAAAAGGCGTAGAATGTGTGCTGGCCATCACCGCTCAATTCAAATGGTACATGCAGTATTTGTCACCCACTCAAAGACGGCAATCTGAGGCTCAAAGTTGGAGGGGGATGGTGGTGAGAGTGCAATTGGAGGGGGGAGAGAGCAAAGAACAGGGAGATTGGAGTGGATAGGGCAATTTGAAGTCCCATGTGGGGGAGAAGAGAGTGATCATAAGTAGAGAAGGGGAGGAGATAATCAGAAGGTGGAAGGTTTGGGACAGAGGTCAGGAGATACTCAGGCGAGCAATTGCAGTGTTAGAAGGGTAGCATGGATGAAGAGGGCATTAGTAGTGGGCAATCAGAGTGAGCTCTACATGAATTCACAGACATATAAATTGCACAGGCCACTGGTGAGATTAATCAAACTGAGAACCTGTTGACAGGTAAGCACAGACTTAACTCATGTCCAAGTTCAATAGGTATCCTGGACCTGGATATTCAAGGTACCAAAACACCCGCCCCTCCATGGAGCCTGACAAAACCCACCCAACTAGGAACCTGTGCCCCCTACAGTATCACTCCATGCTCAAAATCAGGGCAATCCAACTGGAATTTTCCTCCTCCCAACTCAAACAAATTCACATTTCCCATATTCCTGCAGATCACTGACAGGAAACAGAGGAAGGAGGCAAAATCAGTGATGACTTCTGAAAACACACCTTGGAAACTCAAACCACCTTTCACAACACAGTTGCTCCCTCAACCCCGAAGCTCCTCATTCAATCACTGAACCTCTTCCAAATACACATACAGGCTCCTTCACTGCTTAGAGCTTCAACCATCCTCAAGCCACCAAACTCTTCGACCAAACCCTCACCTACAACCCGAAATCTGTCTCACTCTCAGAGGATTCTGGTGTGTTATACTGTATCCCTCCTATCAGTTAGCTCCTGGTGAAAATATTCCTGTTGTTAGAGGGATGTTGTCAACTGGTACCTGATCGAGATTGAAGTCGCGCTGCACTTGGATTTCCCCAGACACTACAGCTGACCAGAACAGTGCCAGAGTGGCACAAAACACCAGCTTGTTCATCCTTGCAGATCGTGATGTGATTTACAGTCTCTGAGAGAAGTTTCTTGTTCGCGGTCGTCTGAGTTCTTGTATTTATAAAGGAAAGAGTACCACAGCTGTTGAATAAGTCACAGACACAACATGCTGAACTCATTTAAATCACACGACACTGGCTGCCAGACGGTTTAAAATTCACACCACAACCAGAATTAATCTCACGAAAATTTAAACACGCACAAACCAGATGCCAATCTCACGATCATCTTGTCAAGGGGCAAACCAAATATGTTTAGTCTCAGTAAACAAAGTGGGTAAATGCACTGATTCAAATCGGATAGTAGTACACATTGAACGTGGGGAGAGTGTAGTTAGACTGTTGAGGAATTACCAAATTAGTACATTGGAAATATGAAGACTCTGTGCCTATTGAACTGTATCCTAGTGACAGTCAATGTGTGTGGGACTGTACCCTAGTGAGAGCCACTGTGTGTGGGACTGAACCCTAGTGAGAGTCAATGTGTGTGGGACTGTACCCCAGTGAGAGTCAGTGTGTGCGTGGGACCGTACCCCAGTGAGAGTCAGTGTGTGTGGGACTGTACCCCAGTGAGAGTCAATGTGTGTGGGACTGTACCCCAGTGAGAGTCAGTGTGTGTAGGACTGTACCCCAGTGAATGTCAGTGTGTGTGTGACTGTACCCTAGTGAGAGTAAATGTATGTGGCACTGTACCCCAGTGAGAGTCAATGTGTGTAGGACTGTACCCAGATGAATGTCAGTGTGTGTGGGACTGTACCCCAGTGAGAGTCAATGTGTGTGTGACTGTACCCAAGTGAGAGTCAGTGTGTAGGAGTCATACCACAGTGATAGTCAGTGTGGGTGGCAAAAGACACCAGTGAGGGTCAGTATTTGTGGCACTGTACACCAGTTAGAATCAATATATGTGGAACTGTATCCCAGTGAGAGTCAGTGTGTGTGGGAATATACATCAATGAGAATCAATGTGTATGGGACTGTACACCAGCAAGATTTGATATGTGTGGAACTGTCTCCCAGTGAGAGTCAATGTATGTGGAACTGTGCCACAGTCAGAGCTAGTGTATGTGTGGGACTGTACCCCAGTGGGAATCACCTTGTATGGTACTGTACCCCAGTGAGATTCAGTGTGTGTGGGACAGTACTTCAAAGAGAATCAGTGTGTTTGGGACTGTACCCCAGTAAGAGTCGATATGTGTCGAACTGTCTCCCAGTGGGAGTCAATGTATGTGGAACTGTACCCCAGTCAGACTCAGTGTGTGTGAGACTGAATCCTAGTGAGAGTTAATGTATGTGGAACTGTACCCCAATCAGACTCAGTGCGTGTGAGACTGAATCCTAGTGAGAGTTAATGTATGTGGAACTGTACCGCAGTCAGAGCCAGTGCATCTGTGGGACGGTACCCCAGTGAGAGTCAGTGCATGCGAGCCTTACAACAGCGATAGTCAGTGAATGGTGGCACTCTGCCCCAGTGTGTGTGGGACCTGAGCCCAGAGACAGTCAGTGCGTGTTGGACTGCACCGCAGTGAGGATCAGCGTGTGTGGGATTGTATCCTAATGAGAATTAGTGTATATGGAACGTTATCCCGGTGAGAGTCAGTGGGTGTTGGACTGAGAGTCATTGTTGGAAAATTGTACCCCAGTGAGAGTCGGTTTGTGTGGGACTGTACCCCAGTGAGAGTTAGTGAGTGTGGGACTGTACCCCAGTGAGAGTCTGTGTGTGTGTGTGGGACTGTACCCCAGTGAGAATCAGTGAGTGTGGGTCTGTACCCCAGTGAGAGTCTGTGTGTGTGTGTGGGACTGTACCCCAGTGAGAGTCAGTGAGTGTGGGACTGTACCCCAGTGAGAGTCAGTATGTGTGGGACTGTACCCCAGTGAGAGTCAGTATGTGTGGGACTGTACCCCAGTGAGAGTCAGTGTGTGTGGGACTGTAC